AAAGGGTTTTTGAATGGTTACTTCACTAAATGTTTGTACGGCTTTCCTCATAGCTACAAGTCCTTAACCCACAAGATGTCAGCTGAAGCAATAATTACATTAATCAATTGTAGACAGTCTAAGACAAAAAACAAAGACGTAGAGGCATTTGGAATTAACATGTTGTAAATCACTTCTACACCATTCCTTTGTCAGTGGAATTATCAGGCTTTTCTCCATCCTTTTAGTCATAATTTTCAAAGTGGTTGACACATTTCATTTCACTCAATGCACTGAACCTTAACACAAGAAAACACCAGTTTGTCAAATGCATGTGATTTGAGGATGTGTATCAGTTAATCTTAAGTGGTTGTCACCAACAAAAACAACAATGCTGGTAAAAGCAAAGGGATTCTAGATGAGGAGAAAGGGTCCATACCAGGATATTAACATAGAAATTGTCAAGTCATCAAATGCAGGGCCTAAACTAAGGAAACACCTCTGGTGTAATTCCCCCTGCCTGAAGGCCTCCAAACTTGTCAGGAGTCAGGAAATTCCCCTCTACTCCATTCTGGGATCAGAGGCATTGAAAATTGCAACAGCCTACCAGTTCACAGTTGCTAGTGCCAAATGCTTCAGGAAGCCAGTACAGAAAGCTCCAGCCCAATCCTGTAAAAATTATTATACGTATGCTCAAAAATTGCACACTGTAAGTGCAGGCCTACATTAATGGGACAGGTCGATCTAAGCTATACAATCTGAGTTATGTTAGTAGTGTAGCTGAAATTGATGTAGCTTAGTTCTACTTACTGTGGGGTCCACATGATGCTGGGTTGACAGAAACAACTCTCATCAACTCCCCTTATTCTTTTCATTCCAGTGGAGTGCCAAAGTCAATGGCTGAAACAAAATACAGGACTATGTAGCACTTTAAAGACTAACAAGATGGTTTCAAGTGCTACATAGTCCTGTATTTTGTTTCAGCTACACCAGATTAACACAGCTACATTTCTATCACAAAGTCAATGGGAAAGTGATCAGTGGCTGATTTATCATGTCGATACTGGATGTGATAAATCGACTCCCACTGGATTGATCTGGCCCATAGTGAAGACATGCCTTTAGTATTCCCATGGACTTCCATGAGATTACTCACAGAGCAAAAGGTACAGTATATATTTTTGTCTCTACAGAATGAGTGCCAAAATTCACAATTATGGAATAACTGGCCAGAAGGAAGTTTCTTCCCCACTAAACACCTATGACTTTGGATTGCATAAGGAGTTAAAGCACAAAGGAAGAAAAGCTCAGCTACTTTCTACAGCTGCCTGGTTTCAATTTTGCAAAGTATTTTAGGAAGGCTCCAAATTATTTGCTTTCTGTTGAAAACTGAAGTAACCAACATTAGTTCAAGAGATTCTGCAAAGGTACCTTCCACAGCTCATGCAAGATGGACAAAGCTAAACAAACAAAATAAATTGTATTGCAAGAGTCCAGTGTTTGAAAAATTAGCTTCACATTTTGGATCAATTTTAATCATTATGAACAGAAAGGCATAATATCGATCATTAGGCTCCTGTATGTGCATATTCCTGTGGTTGGGAAGGAGAGAAAGGAGAATAATGGGATGGAGAATACCAAGAAAAAACAGTGAGGAAAACACCTCATTTACTTTTCCATAAAAATCACATAAGTTACCTGACAGTTTCTAGAGGAGTGTGAGTAGCAACACTCTACACTATTTTTTTCCTTCTTTGAAGCTGGGAATGAGTTTTTCTAGAAGTGGTTAGCCTAAAGGGGTTTGGTCCTAAAGAAATATAGTCAAGACTCAGTTGATAAAGATATTTCAGACTATCATTACCATCAACACCTAAGATTATACATTACTCTTAAAGTGATCTTGTCACTTTCACTGACAACAATTGATCCAATTTTTAAAAAAACCTATTACTTTAATGTAGACACAAGACAGATGAGAGTTTGTATTTTTTTCCAGTTTTTTTTTTATTTGACAATATTTTTGTGAAATAATTTTCACTTTTTCACATGATAATCTGTTTTTTTTTCTTTGTTTTCCCAGTTTTCCACACTGAGAGGGAAAGGAAAATATTTTTAAGATACAGTAAAACTTGGCTGTAAAACTACAAAAATGGCAGACACTCTCAAGATCATGGATAGCACTTGACATTACTTAATTTGTTTCTTGTAAAGAGACAAATTTTAAATAGTATAGTTAAAAAGGACACCTACAAATAGGAGAAAGCTAAAGCTACGCTTAAACGTAACTTTTTAAAGAAGTGTGAAAACGTTAGCCTTGAAGTTCTTAATTTGCCATGGCTGCAAATGATTCCAAGATTTCAATAGTCTGAAGCAACATTTTCTTAATGAGAAACCTTGTTCTATTTACCTGAATAATCGTGTTCTTTAAATAATAATTTCCAGCATTCATTATAGCATTCCATCAGCCTGTTTACCGTGTGGACACAGACCCTAGCAAGACCCCATGTTAACTAATTCACTGCAGAACATTTTAAAAACAAATCTTAGGCCTTTAAAGGGTATGACTGGAGAATAATTTATGACTCTCTCCTTCCTAGCATGCAGCTTTCCATCTCCATCAGAGTTCAATTCATGGAGAATAGGTCCATCACAGGATGGGTAGGGATGGCCTCCTTAGCCTCTGTTAGCCAGAAGCTGGGAATGAGCAACAGGGGATGAATCACCTTATGATTACCTGTTCTGTTCTTTTCTTCTTGGGCACTTGGTATTGACTACAGTCGGAAGACAGGATACTAGGTTAGATGGACCGTTGGTCTGATCCACTATGGCTGTTATCTTGGGGAACTGAATTCAAAGAACTGTACACTAAGCTTGGGAAAGGTACTTCAGAGCTGCACCAGTTCACACACATCTACCCTCTTTACTTTAGAATGTTAGTGACTAATAAAATGCATTATAATACATAGCAATTTTGAATCCTGATAACACTGTCAAAACAAAAACAATTTCATCAGAATCTTACAAGGCACCTTTTCTCCCTAAAATTTACTTAACTTCAGCTTTCTATTCTAAACTACTGTTGCATTACAGCTGCTGACAATTTTTGGAAAAAACGTCAGGTATTAAAAGGGAACAGGAAAGGGTTATTTTCCTGACACACACTCAATTTCATCTGCAACAGAATCATTTTTGCACTCAATCTTAACAAAAAGCATCCTTACAAATAAACAAGACCTAGAAAACTTCAACCTGGATTAGTAAAATTTTAGGCAAACATTAAGGAAGTGAAAAAGGGACTTTAGAATAGAAATGCTTAAGTAACCTACCTGAAGAAATACAAAACCGTAGCTGTTACTAGCATTCTATGTTATAAAGTAATAAAGTAAACCACACACACACACACACACACACACACACACACACACACACTTTGGGGGAGTAGCTGCTTGATTCCTAATATGGGAGCCGTCTCATTCTTAAATTCTGACCCTGTGTGGGATCTGTGAAGATGAAACCTTATGTCCATGCAGCGTGCCCTACAGAAATCAACAGGGCTTTGGGCAGGCATGGGAATTATCTTCCAAGATTGGGCCATTAGTGATCACTAGTTTTAGAATGGTGGAGGAGGAGGAGAGATTTGCAACAAGAGAAAATGTTTCATCCATGTAATACACAAGAGTATCTGTGGGGTAAATGTAACCATCAGGCAGATGAATTTCTGACCTGAACATAGGGGAAAAGACATTAATCAATTTTAATATGCTTTGAATGAGTCCCTTAATGTAAATCTTAGAAATGAAGAATTTAGAT